CGACTTGCGTATGCTATCACGCGCTCTCCTCCCTCGAGTACCTGCGTGAGTACCGCTCCTAGTCCGTGCGTGCTGGCGTCTGTTTGTAGGGTAAATTCCTGGTTAAAGTCCGCGCAAGCTAATATTGGTGCGGTAATTAATGTCTGTTTTAGTGTCTGGAACGCTTTATCTTCCTCGTCTCCCCATTTCCATTTTTCTTGTTTTCGTGTTAGATTTGTCAGTGGTACCGCTATTTTTGAAAACCCTGCGATGAAGCGTCGGTACCATGACGCCATGCCCAGGAACTGGCGTATTTGGCGGACGGTTGTCGGCGTTGGCCATTTGGCTACTGCATTTGTTTTCTCCGGATCTGTTCTTATGCCTTGCTTGTCGACTATATGTCCCAAATATTTTAGGCTGGGTCGACAAAAGTGACATTTCTCTATATTTAGGCGGAGATTCGCCTTTCTCAGTTGTTCGAACACCTTCTTTAGTATTCTCAAGTGTTCCTCGAAGGTTCCGGTAGCGATAATTATATCGTCCAAATATACCTGTACGTTGGTTTCTAGCTCTGGCCCTATTACTGAGTCTAATAATCTTTGAAAGGTTGCTGGTGCGGCGTGTAGTCCAAATGGCATTATCTTGAACTGTTTTAATCCTCTGCCCGTTACTGTGAAAGCGGTGATTGCGCGGCTGTCTGGTGTTAGCGGTATCTGCCAGTAGCCGTTTTTCAAATCGAGTGTTGTGAGATATTTTGCCCCCCTCAGCTTGTCCAATGTTGCTGTTATTTGCGGTAGGGGGTATGCGTCCGTCTCGGTTACTTCGTTAACCTTTCTGAAATCGATGCAGAAACGATGCTTTCCATCCTTCTTTTTTACCAACACAATCGGTGAGCTCCATGGGCTTTGCGATGGTTCGATTATTCCTGCTTCTTCCATTTCGTTAACTTCTCTATCAATAATACTCTGCATTGCTGGGTTCCTCGGCCTGTACCGTTGTTTAATCGGTTCTATTCCTGGTTTAACCCTGATTTTGTGCTGTATTAATTTTGTCGTACCGTGGATGTTTTCGAATTTCCTGAATTCGTTCTGTAGGAATTGTTCCAATTGTTGTGTCTCCCTGTATGTACGCGGTTGCATACCCTCTGATATTATGCATGT